CTCAGTTCCCGCTAGATCCGCCCATCTCATGGACGATAGATGGGCTGTCACATTGCATTGACCGGATTATCTTCCCGCGAAGCGGATGTAGTTGCATCGCCTGTAAGGATTGGTATGATGTTTGTCAGAGACATCGGCGATGAGCGCACGGCCTTGCTCCACGACCCCGAGTGTTGCTTTTGCGTCTGACGACGCACGCCTGAATCACGGGTACTTGAGGCTATGGACGTGAATGTAAGCAGAGCTGTAGTCTCACGAGTGATCAGAGATCCTACATTGCTTTTATCTTGGGACCAATACTTCTCCGTCGGTGAACATTACGCCAAGCACCGCCCGACAGGTTGGCACACACACGCCCGATCGCCAGCATCCAGAACGTCACTGGCAAGGGCACGCAGAGCTTCCCGTCCGTCCGCAAACCATTTCCCCATGTTCTTCCCGAATTTGAGATGGTCAGTGAGCGTCCATCGGCATTACCACCCGCCCTGTGGAGCGGGCCCCTCTTCCCTTCTAAAAAGCATGCTAAGAACGTATGGGAGGTGTTGATGGACGCGATCCGCCGGCTTGGATTGGGGTCTGCAGGATGACAGAACCTTGGCGGGTCTTATTGGCGTGGCAGATGTCTACACCAGATGCGGCAGACGTGGGTGTATTGAATGGAGGACGAGGAGCCTGAGTCCATTTGGCCACCGACCGTAGGTGCGTTTGCATACCTCGGCGTCTTGACGATGACAAGAGACAAACATACATTATGAGTATGTCGTGATAATCCATCGCATCTGGCTGGCTGGGCTCTGCGCTGTCTTCTCTCAGGAGGGCCAGCTGCTTCAATGCGGTCTGGGGGGAGGTGCGTCAAGATTCCGGATAGGAGGACGGGACCGACGTACTTGCACGGTGCGCTGGAGTGAGGGAAGCCGCCGCGCAACAGCGTAGTGACCCCAAACCAGATCATACTTGATCAAACCTCCCAATTGAAGGTTCTTCGCGTGTTGTTGATTATTCACCTGTGCTCTGCGGCAGCCCGTCGACGCGGGATCGCGTACTCAGACCTGAGCACGCTCGAAGGGGCCTAATTCCGGGGATGTTTGACGAGTCGAACGGGATATTTGATTGTGGAGGCCTGATGCACCATGCATCAGAACTGATACGTCCGAATCGCGATGCTGAGATTGTAGTGGAGAACATCATACAAGATCATACACGGACATGACTTTACTTACATACGCTCCAGGCATCCGCTTGCTCGCCAAGCATGCACGCCAATAGGCCCGCCACCACTTGACGCGACATAATCGTGGCCGACGCATGGCGAGAAGGACCGGCATATGGGAATGCTGGTTACTCTAGTCAGCAGAGTGGCGGCGGCGGGGAGCATGCTCGGAGCTTGGAGTACACACCAGATATCGCGCGTATGTTATCCATCACCCTCCGAATGGAGGCAGCTCCCGAGAAGCGAGGGTCTGAGTCAAGCACGAGCTGTCGCCGCACGAACGTCGCCGTGTGGGATCTTCTCATGCCTGGCACGATGTGCTCTATACGGAACCTTATACGGTCGTTTGAATTGAAGTGTCGGGTGCAGACAATGTCTAGGTGAGGACATGACAAAGATTCTGATAATGATGGAGAGTGAGCACTTTGACCGACTGCATAGTGCTGACGTTGCTTACCTCCTTTACACCATCCTCCAATATCTATCCAACGACACATTAGACTCCACACCGTGCACATCCTCACAAGAACAGACACAATCCCTTGGAGTCTACGAACAAATGGGGCATTCACAGATTGTATTGCAGAGTTAATATGAGCTGGATATTACGTTGACATGAATCTGCCTACAAGGCAAGGAATGTACCCAAAGCTGATTAGCCGCCTACCAGTAGAAACAAGAAGCAGACGGCATGCCCAGCTAAGTGCCCCCAGGGTCAATCTGCTCGACCGCGAGCCTACAAAGTAGACCAGAGCGAGTACGTCCTCACCGACGACGGCGACGCCAGCCCATGGTCGAGGGACTGTAAAGAAACAGACGCTCGGGCCATCGCTTTTTTTATGGCGCGCGTGCCGGGCCCGTGCGTGGGAACTAGCAGACGGGCGAGGATAAAAAAGCGCGGTTCTGCGCGTCTCTTTCTTCACGAAAGTTACACCTCGTTATATTTGGGATGCCCTTCTCTTCCAAGGTGGCGTCTTGAAAGTTTGGCGAGGGAGAGCGACTCTTCTCCATCTCAAGATCGCGACGATTTCTCTACGTTGCTTGCGGCCCGTGTTGGAGGTACATACCTCCTGTTACCCTCTGTGTACTGCTCGTGTTGTTACTTCTTGATGCATTGCTTCTTTGTCAGTTTCTTTCTACACTGATGCCTGAATGCGCCTGTTCTGGCGTCGGAAGCTTTCATCTGGATATGGTCCAGGTTGTTCGTGCTGTACACGTCTATTGGCACTAATGATCCATTTGGCCACACTCACCAGGGTTGTCTTTCAACTGAGGCGCCGTGCAAAGGTGCGATTGACCGATACATTAATTGTCTTCGGTTGCTCTTGCGGATGCCACGCAACTGTCGATTCAGGCTGACCGAGGGTCCCGGTTCCCGATCATGTCATCTCGACTGCAAGCCGCATTCACATAGCACTCGGTGTGATGTACTATGTAGCCAAGGTAGCATGTACCAGTGAGCGGTGAGGGAAATCTCGCCGTGTTTTCCTCAAGGGCATGGCATATTGGACGTGTCTGCACCTTGCCTGCGGTCAACATTACAACTAGTAGTCAATATTACGTGCGTTGTTCCTGTTCTGACTCGTGGAACGATTCAGCACTAGTCTGATGGTCTTCAACGGGAACGAAACGAGCGTGTGCGCGACATGGTGAAGCGCCGGTTCCTGGGTTCCGTCGACTCTCAATTCATCACACTGGCCGGGCTGAAAATACAAACGACGCGTAAGTACGTGTTCCGACAACGTCGGATGCGATAGCATGACTATGCGTAGGTCGTATGCAGCTATGGATCGACTCTTAGTTTGAACATGTAGCTGGATATATCATGCTCTGGCCGCCTAGAGCAGCAATATTGTGATAGACTCAGCACAGCGCGGCTGGTGTGATTACCCGGTGCAAAGCAGCTACAGCCCGCGCCGGACACTCGCTGCCTTGTGATGCACACGCGCAGTGCCAAGGATCACATGGTCGTGAATGCGGGGATAAGCGGGGTAGTAACATGTGAAAATGATACGGGCATGAGATTACAATGGCCGAGGGGTATTAGAACTTGACTCAAGACCGCGTCACCCAGCTGCTCTCTCCCTTCCACCTCCTCCCCATTCCTACCATGTCTGCACAGTACGCTTCGAACGCCTCTGGCTCGGGAAAGAGCAAGGTGCTTGCAAAGAACCCTGACGACGTTGTCATCGTCTCGGCGGTTCGCTCAGCAATCACGAAGGTTGGAGCCCCCTCTCGCTGCCTCGCAGCTATGCTCACCCTGGTATCAGGCAAAGAAGGGTGGCTTCAAGGACACACGCCCTGAGGAGATCCTCTCCGGTGTTCTCCGCGCTGCATACACCAAGGTCGGCCTCGACCCCGCACTCATTGAAGACATCACTGTCGGCAATGTGCTACCTCCCGGAGGCGGTGCCAGCGCGGCACGCATGGCCGAGCTGCATGCAGGTATCCCTATCACTACGCCCATCAGCACAGTCAACAGGCAATGCTCCTCCGGCCTTGCAGCCACGAATAACATCGCCGCGCTGATTACGTCGGGTCAAATCGATATTGGCCTTGGTGCGTGGCCGCGTCAACTGCACGAGTCTTTCCTCTGGCCACCATGTACTGACTCGCCCTTCCAGCTGCTGGTGTTGAGTCTATGACCTTCGGCTTCAATGCAAGCGCGAACCCGGACGGCTACTCCGAAGCAGTGCTCTCCTTCAAGGAGGCCGAGGACTGCTTGATCCCTATGGGTCTCACCTCCGAGAACGTTGCCAATGACTTCCACATCTCGCGCGAAGACCAAGACGCGTTTGCCGCCTCTTCGTTCCAGAAGGCGGCCAAGGCGCAGAAGGAGGGCCGCTTTGTCCCTGAGATCGTACCACTTACGGTGCCATGGGTAGACGCGAAGACGGAGAAGGAGGGCACGGCTGTTGTAGACCACGATGATGGTGTGCGGGACGGCGTCACGAAGGAGAGCCTTGCGAAGCTTAAGCCTGCGTTCACAAAAGATGGCACTACTCATGCTGGTGGGTGTCTAATAAGACGTAGTTGGGACTCTGTGCTTACCAGCCATGAAGGTAGCGCGTCGCAGGTCTCCGACGGTGCTGCCGCCGTCATCCTCGCGCGTCGCTCAGTAGCACAGCGTCTCGGCCTACCCATCCTAGGCAAGTTCGTCGCTGCCGCAGCGGTTGGCGTGCCTCCGCGGATCATGGGCGTTGGCCCGCTCTACGCGATCCCGAAGGCTCTTGCGAACGCGGGCCTGAGCAAAAATGACGTCGACTTCTTCGAGATCAACGAGGCATTCGCGAGCCAGGCCCTGTACTGTGTTCGCGAGCTTGGTATCGATTTCGGCAAGGTCAACGTTTGGGGCGGCGCGATCGCGCTCGGGCACCCACTCGGTTGCAGTGCGTGCCTCGTTATCACAGCGTGTTATGCACTGACTGTCGCGTTTAGCTGGCGCGCGGCAAATCGTGACCGGCTTGAATATCGCGAAGCAGACTGGGACCAAGATATTCGTGACGAGCATGTGCATCGGCTCAGGGATGGGCATGGCAGGCGTGTTTGTGAGCGAGCAGTAATCGCTGACACAACCTTCGGCCCTTGGTGTTCGATATGAACTGGTAAGTTCGCCCTCGTCAGAGTAAGATAGTGCATCGGTTGACCATACTCTGTAGGAATGGGCTGTTGTTGTACTATACTAGTAACTATCTAACGTGACGCGTTCTGGGAGCTTCTGTTTGTTTAACACCTCATCATCTAACTTGACGTCCTCATCGTCGTCGAGACAAAGCAAAAGGAAAAGGTATGCCAAGAGGGCGGATCGAACGCCCGACCTTCAGAAAACGCTAGTGAGTGCTTCAGTCTGCTGCTCTCCCAACTGAGCTATCTCGGCTATGTCAGATTTACAACCACCACAATTATATTGTCCCAATCATTAAAGCTACCTGTAAGCATTTAATGGACCAGCTTGTAACATCCTAGGCCTGTAGCTTTATCGAGGAACCTCGTCAACCCGGTGTGCATTTTCATGAAGTGACCGTGGTGATGAGCTAGGTCTTCTTGTCTCGGAATTGATGTGGCTCGCCAGCTTGATCAGTTGTAATAGACCACGTGAGACTACGTGTCTATAGATGGTCCGTGCGCAGGTTGACCCAGTATAAAGGGACGCGACGGCAATGTGAACAATTCATACTTACCTTGATGGAATGTTCCCCTTCATGTATCGGGAGTATTGGCTGTAGGGATGTCTCATAGCACGGCGACCATGTCCCCAGGGGGTCCTTGCGGTTTGTATGAGTTTCGGCTCATGCATCGTCTCAATATTTTCCTGTCCTGCTTTGGCCCTCGGGCTGGGCAGGCCTTTTTCTTGTTAGTATGCCCTGTTAACCCTAACCCTAGTTTATAGTTTGTTTTTCACTGTTCTACTGAAAGCTAGTTTTCAAGCCAAGTGCAGATTGTCATCACTTTGCTCGCATGCATGTTTCATCATCACTACATTCTACAGGTCGTTACAAATACAATACAATATCCCACTTTGACCGTATACCAACAGTGTTCCACATTACGGCAGCATCAGAAAGAAAGAAAGAAAGACACCGAATTCTCATGCTGAGATATCGAACGCCGCGCTACTCCATCCTTCCCGCCTGCTCTCTTCGTCCTTCTTCCGTTCGACCTCCTCGCTGAACCCACGCACTTTCCGCACACCCTCCTTCACGCTCTCCTTGGCCTGTTCCGCAATGCCCTTCAGCTTATCCCCAGTCTCCGCTGCAGCTTCCTTCTTCCCCTCCAGGTCATAGCGCTCTGCGAGCGAGTCGCTCAGCGTACCCTTCGGCCCCCGCTTGTCGCCGCTCAACACCTGCGGCTCCGCGCCCATCGCGAACTGCACCTCGCCGTCCTTTTTCACGATACCCGTGCCCGTCGCCTGCCAGCCGCTGAACACGCCGCCAGACCCGCTGCGTTTCTGCATGTGCCCAAGCTCGCTCCAGAACCCCGCAACGAGCGCCGCACCCCGGTTCAGGCCGGCGTCGTCGAACACGTCCGCACGCTTGCCGACGTCCCAGAGGAGTGCATCCGTCGACTCGAGCGCTGCGCGCACTTGCTGCTCGAGCAGCATGCGGAGCGCGTCGCGGAAGCGGCTTACCATGACCGGGCGGAAGACGGTCATGACCACGGAATGGTTGCTCTGCGTGATCTTGACTTCGACGTCCTCGCTCACGCGTGCCTCAACGCGCTGCACCTCGAGGAAGCCCCCGCGACGAGCGCGCTCCTTGAGGCCTTCCGGCGAGTTGGGGATGCTCCGTACGACGACGTCGAGGTCTATGCCCTGCGGCGGAAGGGTGAACTCCAACATGCCTGTAAACTCGGCGGGCCCGACCACTGCTGTCGTATCTTTGTAGTAGAAGCTGACTTCGCGGAGGGCGAGGTGCAACGCTTGAATGTAGATGCGGGTGAGCGTGCCGACAGAGGTGTTTGTCTGCCCGGCGGAGGAAGCCGTAATGTCGATGTCAGTGATGTTTCGAATATATGCGTGTCCGGGGAGCAAGCCGAAGCTCGAGATGTCAAGATCCTCCAGGACAAACTCAACTTCGGCGTCCTTGTACTCCGTCCTAGCATACGTGATGAGAATTCATTATCGCATGCTGTATCTATCACTGCATACCTTGGAATCGGGATGTTCCTGAGCATGCCCACAGCGTTCGGGAGATAGAAGTTGAAGAGATCCTGCCAGAACCAAGGCGCCTTCTCCATCATGGCCTGAAGGCCTGTGCCCCCCGCGACGATGAGGCTCTCCTCGAGGTCCTTGCCCAGCTTGCTGTGAGCTGCGCGCACTTTACGAAGATCCGCGTCTGTCGCGATTGCCCGCTCGAACTCCTCGGCCTCAGCCTTGACTTTACCAACATCCTCCTTCCACTTCTTGCCCTTCTTCGAATCCTTGTCGGAAAGCTTTTCCCACTGCTTGCGGAGCTGCTCGCTTGCTTCGTCCGCCTCCTCGCTGCGCACATAGCCGCTCTCGTCAACGCATCGGCGAGCATGTTGCAGTGAGCGATCGCACAACAAACGGATCGAATCGTCTTGCTGGATGTCTACACTGCAGACGCGGAGTGCATTGAAGAAGTTGTCGAGGCTCTTACCGCCTGCGAGACGTTGGAGGACAGCGCGCAAGCCACGAATGCCCTTGATGAGGTGTTGGTCAGGCGTTGGGTCGTTGATGAATGCCTCAAGTGAGGTATCCTTGTTGACATCGCCAGCGGTATCGAGGCTGCGGTTGATCCACTTGTGCATGAGATTGAAAAGCGTATCGACCGCGGAGTGGTACTGCTCATCATCTTGAGCGCGGTCGCAAATCTGTATGCTGTGAGTGTGCATATAGGCCAATAAGAGCCGCATATACACACCTTATTGAACGCGTCCTGGAGACGCGTGGTCGTGCGGTTCGCGACATCCTCTGCAGCGCCGACCGCAACCTGGCCGGCCCCAATTGCCTTCGAACCAACAACCTTCGTCGTGTCCATAGTCTTCTCGAATTTCGCGCGCACATCATCCTCCGCTTCATCCTGCTTGCGCTTCTTCAAACCAATCTCGTTCCGCTCGCCTGCATCGACCTGGCTGTCAAGCTCACGGAGTCCTTCGGCAGTCTTGTGTGCGCCCGTAGCCACGTACTCCGCAGCATCTGCGAGAGCGAGACGCGAGAAGGACGCGAAATCGTGGAAGACGCTGCGGCCTTCCTGGGAGAGATTCTCCCCGACGACACTCACGAGAGTACGGAGTGCGTGAGCGAGCTTCTGGGCGTCGCGCTTGGCCTCGTCGGTGTCGATATCCACGTCGGTGGTTGTGGAGGACAGATCGGCCGCTGAGAGATGCCACAACGATTCTTGCAAGAGGTTGTCACCTAGAACAGCTTGTGAGCACGATATCGATGCAGCGCCATTCGACTCACCATTCTTGCTTTCGCCGAGCTCATTCCACGCGGTGAGGAGGTCACGAATATCGCTCTGGAGAGACTTTCCTTGTTGGCTGAGCTCGCCACCGTCCGCAGAGGGTTCGTTGCTGAGGACAGCCGAGTTGAGGGCAGCGTTGACCCAGCCTGCGAGCTGTTCAGAGGAGGGAAGCTTGCCGGCGTTGAGCGCGGCGATCACAGTGGAAGTCTTGTCCATGTTGTTGATTGTTGGAGGTGTCAAAATGAGGAGAGGGGTTTCGTCGCGAGCAGCTGTTGGATGAGTGGTTTATATACATCCGGGCGGGCTGGTAAGGATGCACCACGGTGACCGGTTAGTGACGTAGGGACTCAAGCCTACCGCCTGTCCGCGTCATCCCGCGCCCCTGCTCCCCTTCTGTCCCTCTTTGGTAAGTCTGTGCATCGAGGGTGACATGTTTGCTTAGTTGAGAGGGAGTGGCTGAATGCAGTCACTTGGGAGCCACTGCCATCCGCGCCCACGTCACGACACTCCACGCTTCCTTGCCTCATCAGGCAACTCACCTTCCCCTTCCGCTCACCTGGTCTCGTATACATTTCGGGACGGGCATCAAGTAGGTTGTATACCTAGTCAGAAGCAGCTAGTACCCATGGATTAGTCGTGATTCCGTCACCTATACATTCTGTTTTTGGATGATCTCTTCGACTAACGACCGCCCACCGTCCTCCCAGTTGTCCCAGCAATGGCCCAGGAAGATGGTGAAACGACCATATCCCTCGATCTCACCGTCTCCACCCTTCTTCACCGCCGCAACCGACCGTATCTCCTCCGCCAGATCGGGGCTCAGAACGTACATCCACCTGTGTACGCCCTCGTCCTTGAACCCCAGCCGCCGCGCGAGGCCGACCGACTTGACATTGTTCGGGTGCGCGCACCACTGCACGCGGCGGAAGCCTAGCCCAGGGAGGGGCGCATCCGGCTTCTCAAGGCAATGGCGGAGGAGGAGTGCGATCGCCGTGCGGGCGACGTGCGTACCCTGGAACTTGGGGAAGATGAGCACGTACCCGATCTCCGTGCTCAGGTGTGCCGCAGATGTGTTGTAGAGTGCCATGACTCCTGCGAGCGCGTCCCCACGCGTGCGGTCGAGCACCGCGAACATGATCCACTCGGGGTTCGCGCGAAACCGCTCGAAGAACGGCACGAGGTCGGCGTAGCCCGTCGGGCAGAAGGTGTAGAACTTGAACAGCTCTGCAGCGCGCGGCTGCACATGCTCCCAGTACGTCTTGAGGTGCAGTGCCGGGACGAATGGCACGAGGCGAAGAGTGGGGCAGGAAAGGGTGTCGAGGTGAAGGGGGAAGGCGAAATTGATGTTGTATGGTCTTGTCGAGGACAACGCGGCATCGATCGTGTCTGGAGATGGAGCTGGTGTGGGCGGTGTGTAATTGTTCACGTACGTCGCCATTTTCAATGATTGGATTGCGGCGATTGAGAAGATTGACATCCGCTCCTTGACCTCGAACCACCACCATCTCCGGCCGTCCAACTCGGCCCCCACTTTCACTACTGTCGACCAACTCGACACCGCGACATAATCCCTCTTTCCCCTGGGTTTGAGGACCACAAAACACCTCACCTCGCTGTCGCCAACCAAGTGTCATCGATCGCAACCGTCGACTCCCACGTCCCACTTTAGGCTCCACGGCCTCGCCTCTCCTTCCCCCTCTTGCCTGTCGCAGTAACGTGCCCTAGACCCCGGTGGCGAAACGCACGGGAGACTCCCTTGTGTGAGTCCGTTGCGCGAAGTCGGGAAGCAAGCTCCGGGGTGCCTTTGGCCCCTGGGATAAATCCGTATTCTGTGAGGCACCATAGGGAGGTGGAAGTGGAGGAGTTGCATGCGGAGGGAGGCTCGGGTCCAACTGTGGAGGTGGGGAACCTAACACGAACAACACCAGCACCCTCGCCCTTGCTGGAAGGT